CCGTGGCAAAAATGGAAACTGCCCGCAGCAGCCCGATATGCAGGGCAGTGACTGCCACCTGCTTCCCCGACTGAGTTAGTGCGACTTTGTAGAACGACCTGCATGTTGCCCGTAAGGCTGCGTGGTCACCTGGCCTCCAGACCATCGCGTCTCCTGGACGTTCATCCTACAAGGCTGTCCCAGCCGTACTGGGTGGCAAAAGCACAGGTTACCCATCAGCAGAAGAGGTTCGCCTGTGTGTGTTTGCAAGTGGAACACCGTACGGCGGTGTGACGAGGGCTGCATGCGTGAACACAAGTGAATCGCAGACATAACTTGAGCAGAAAAGCAAAGCACAGAACACGGCAACGTTTACGTAATGTGTGGTTGAGGGGAAAACAAGGGAATGAAAGCACAGAATTGAGGGCTGTTTCTTCAGCCCGGAGGCCACAGGGTGCAGGCAAGGAAAGGCAGTTGGATGAACTCTTGAGCTGGGTGGCGGTTGCATGGGTGTCTTATTCTTTATAACATAGATGTTAGATATTTTAACAGGCACTCACTGTGTGCTAAGCACTTAGCATGCCTCTCTGTCCTCTTCAGCAGGGCAACACTGAGAGCACGTGTGGTTCAGGGCTGGGCGCCATCAGCTGCGGCCCCGGCAGAGCCCTGTGGATGCGGGGTGGGCGCCCCCCGGGCACTGACTCCTTCTGCCTGCCCGCAGGTACTGAAGTCCACAGGGGATGTGTCCGGAGGCCGGGCCCTGTACGAGGGGTATGCGGCGGTGACGGATGCTCCCCCCGAGTGCTTCCTCAGCCTCAGGGACACGGTGCTGCTCCGCAAGGAATCTCGGAAGCTCATCGTTCAGCCCAACACTCGCCTCGAAGGTAACGGACTCCTGAGCCTCCTTTGGTGGGGGCCGTGCAGCCCTGTGGGAGCACAGAGGAGGCCTGCCACTGACCAGGGGCCCAGGGAAGGCTAACTGGGGTGACTCCGACCTATCTCCCTGCCACAGTCCTCCTCGGGCCAAAGCTCAGGCCAAAACCTTGGCATCTACCATCACCACCATCACTACCACTGTCCATGGTCATGCCGATGATCAGATGGGAACAGAAGGTTTGAGAAAGGCCAGCAGAGCCAGGGCGAGTGGAACATGCAGACCCCGGGGCGGGCAGGCATGGTACCAGAGAATCAGACCTCGCCCTGAAGTGAGTCACATCAGGCAGTGAGTTGGGACCCAGCAGGCCAAGTGGAACCCAGGGGACAATGTGACTCAGCAGAGCCAGGACAGAGATCAGTAGCCCTGTGGTCCCTCTACCTTCTCAAGTGATGATCCCATTCCCAGAAGCCCTGACCCTGTGTGCATTGCACTTGGATCTTTTGTATTCAACGCCCTTAGGGATCCCAGCACCTGCTGATTCACTTCCCCTCCCCCCTTGACTCGTCTACCCTGACATCTGGCTCACGAGGCACCTAGAGGAGGCGGTGCCAATCAGCGGTTAGAGCATGAGCTTCGGAACTGCTCTGCGACCTTGTCCTAGCACTTGGCTGCTCTGGGCTTGGGTGTCTTCATTCATAAAGCCAGCCTTGATGTGTGCTTACATTGTAGTGAGCCTGAATTAAGTGCTTTCCATGGACCAACCCTTTAAATCCTCACAATAATCCAATGAGGTAGATATTTTTATTACCCCATTTTACAGATAAGACAATTGAGGCACAGAGAGTAAATTACTCAAGGCTTATAGCTCGATATTAGAAGAGCCAAGAGTAAATTTAAAAGTGTTTCCTCTTCACTTCCACATCCTGGGCAGTAGTGAGGGTTAAATTCAGTAATTACCTCCTACTGGTGAGGAAGAAGCATTTAAGAGGCTTATCCTAAACTCTTTACTCTACACTCCAGAGGCTCCATGGGCTTTGGCCCTGGCCCATTGCCGACCTCAGCAACCCTCTTGCCTGGTTTACTGCCTTCCAGGCGCATGGGCCTTTCCGTTTCTTCAACACCCTGAGCTTGCTCTGCTCTTATAACCCTTGCACTCGCTGTTCCCTCAGCTTGGCGTGATCCTCTCCCAGATCTTCGTCTGGATGGCTCTTCTTGTCATTTGGGTCTCCATATAACGGCATCTCCTGGGAGAGGCTGTCTCTGACCCCTCAATCTAAAGCAACCCCTTTGGTCCCTCTTGGCTTTCTCTTCATGCACCCATCACTCTGCCACTTTCCTGTCTGCCTTGTCTCCATGCCAGCAGAAGCAGCATATCCCCTGCACCTAGCACAGGGCCTGGCACACTGGAGCTGCTCAGTGCCTGTCAAATGAGTGACTGAATGAATGAATATGGATCATGCTGGGCACACAGTAAGTGCTGGTTCCACGGACAGTATCGTCATCACTCTGATTGTTCTGCCCTGCAAGGGCCAGTGGGGATCAAGAGGTGAATCGGACCCAGACCCTTGTCTCAAGTAGCTCACAGCCCATTAGGAAAACCTGCATGAGTGCCCAGGAGACGCAAACAGTGATTTGAACAGGAAGAGAGAAGGTCACATCCACCTTCAAGGGAGTCAGGGAGGGTTCTGGGGAGGAAGTGGTGATTACACGAGGCCTGAAGGACAGGCTGGATTTTCTTTTTATTTTTTTGTTTGGATTTTCAAAGGTAGTGTTGGTAGTGATGATGACAGCTAACTTCCAAGGACTTTCATATGCCAGGCACTGGGTAAAAACTTCCCATGGATTAACTCCCAACAACCTAATGAGGAAGTAACTGTCCCCATTTTTCAGCTGGAAACAGACACAGGGGGACTGATTGTGTATTTGCCTGAGGTCACACAACTAGTGGGTGGCAGAACCAGAATTTGAACTTGGGCCATCTGAACCCAGAGCCTGTGCTCTTAGCTCTATACAGCACAACAAGGCACTGTGGGGGGATGTGAGTTAGAGGGCAGTGCTTCCAGGAGTGTTCAGACGGCCCTCGGAGCTGCCCCATTTAAGAGATGAGGAAATAGGTCAGAGATAACGCTGCTGGTGGTAGCTAGCACTTGTTGAGCACTCACTTGATGCATTATTGTATTTAATCACTACAGCTTCTTGAGGGAAGAGGTACTGTGCTCAGCCCCACTTCACAGATGAGGAAACTGAGGCTTAGAGGTTGAGAAGCGGCCAAGGACAGTGTCTGTTTATCCTGCCATGGCACCTGGAATACATCTTTTATTAAATGAATGAATGAATGCAGCAACTCATTAAATACTCCCCCTCTAATATGTCCTTCCTCATAGGGTTATTGTAAGGAGGAATAGATAATAAACCTAAAACATTGGACACAATTTTTGGCACACGGTAAGAGCTCAGGAAGAACTAGCCGCCGCCGCCGCTGCTGATGGTGATGACAATTCTGCTTCCCTATTAAGACCTTTCTCTGCTGCTGTTTTCTCTCCATCTCCTCCCCAGGCTCAGAAGTGCAGCTTCTTGAGTACGAGGCCTCGGCTGCTGGTCTCATCCGATCCTTCTCCGAGCGCTTCCCAGAGGACGGGCCCGAGTTGGAGGAGGTTCTCACCCAGCTGGCCACAGCCGATGCCCAGTTCTGGAAGGGCCCCTGTGAGGCGCCATCCGGCCAGGCGTAAAGCAGATTTGTGCAGCCCCTCCCCAACTCCATCGAACCAAGGCTGCAAGCAGCCCCCTTTTTATGTGCGCATCAGGGGCTAAGGGAGGGGCAGGAGCTCAGGCCTTGGTGCTACCTCAGCCGAGGGTGGTGACACTAACCCCTTCCATTTGGCAGCACGTTCCACTTTACCAACTACTTCCCTGTGTTATCTCATTTGATCTGTGCTGCCCTCTGTGGAATGGGCAAGGCAGGGCGCCTTATCCTGTTTCCCAGATGAGGAGATGGAAGTTCTGAGAAGTGACCTGTCTAGAGCCTGCAGGACTCAAAACCTCTCCCTGTCTAGGGCTCTTCATGGATTACTTTTATAACCAGAAAAATAAATATTAGAAATAAATAAATACTGTGGTCTGAGCAATTTCTCCTTGTCTTTGCTTCACTTTTCTTTTGCTCCTACCAGGGTGGTGGGATCAGGGGCTGGGGAGGGGGCAGGAGGGTCATTTCCAGGCGTCCATCCCCTGAGGATGTGCGCACAGTTACAGAATTGAACATAGCACAATTTCTGCAGCCCGCTTTTGTGGCATTTCTTGTGTTTTGAAGTATTCTGGGAGTCTAAAAACTAGAAACCTGCAACTCCAGTCAGAATCCTAGGATGTAATCTCTTGAGCCTTGTGTTTTGTTTTCTGAGCCTGGACCTTTTAGTGCGGCGGGAAGAAAGGACATGGCCCTTTTCAGCTTGAAGATGGTTCCAGTTACCTTTGCTGCTCAAACACTGGAAGGGCTGCACTCAGGCTTGAAGCCAAAGCGCCCTGCCGCTGACCCAGAGGTCACAGGGCCCAGGTGCTGCGGCTGGGAAGGAGCAAAGATAAATCCTATGAGCTGGGATGAGGGATTGCGCTTTAGCCGCCAGAAGCCCAGCAAAGAAGCCAGCACATCCCGCATGGCTCCCCAGGCTCGGGCCGGAACGTTGCGCTGCCGGAACGTTTGTCCGCGAGCTTTCCGGAACCCGGAGCGCTTGGATGCTGCACGGCGGCTGGCCAGAGCCGGTTGCCAGGGCGACGCTTGCGAAGATGGCGGCTGCATCTCCGTTGGATTTCGACGGCGGCAAAGCTGAGAGGTGAAGGCCAAAGTCCTTGCGGCCTCTTTTCCTACAGATATGGAGAGGGTGCCCCCGGGATCTGGCTCCTGACGTTCTTGAACAGCTAGGGAAACAGGCCCAAGCACCCAATTTTCTATTTCTCTCTGTGTGTGTGTGTGTGTGTGTGTGTGTGTCCCGCGGTCAGTGCTGGAGTCTGGACTTGGATCCCCAGTTCGGGGCTCCCCACACACCTCACTCTCAGAGACCGGCTCCCTCCCTGGGTACT